AAGTGCTGGCAGAGCCCCACAGCCAAGGAGAAAACGAATGCGTGAATGTGAGGTCTAGTCGCCCAGCAAAGACGTCAGCCGCGTGCTGCCACGATGCACCAGACGGTGCACACGGCGCCGCGCCACTTCCCACTCCCCACACAAGAAGAGCAACTGGCGAGAAGGGCGCAAAGGCCCAGTGCACACACCGCAGAGTACAAAGAACCCCAACAGGAAGGGTGAGGTGTTGGGCATTTGCCGCCTGCTGTGTTCACCGTAGCAGATTAAAGCACACACACACACACATGGCAGGCAGCAGCAGACACCGCCAACAGAGTGGGAAGCAGAGATGACCGTCAGAGGAATAGCAGAGGCAGCAACAACATAAATGCAGCAACAGCGTAGTGCTATGAAACATAAAGCAACACGTCCTACTGACCACGACTGCCCCAGATACCCCCAGACATCAATCCCATCATCCCCTACACTTTATTCAGGCATTCAGAGAGTAAGCCAATCCCTCACATCATAACCCGCATCATCACAGCGCCCCTAAGCCAGCGGTGGCGGCACGCAGATACTTCCACAAGCGCAGCAGCACTGCCTACACAGCAGCAGAGAGAGGAGAGAGGCAACGATACGGAGCAGTGCACACACCGCAGGCACAGCAGCAGCAAGACTCCTCGACAGTATTTCACTGCCAGGTGTTCACAACAAACCCCCAGCACCCCCAAATAAACAGAAAATAAGAACATTTCTCACCGCGGAGAAGCACCCCACCGCAAAGCCCAAGTGGCGTCAGTGCTCCCTCCCGTCACTGCGATGGCGCAGCGGAGAGGCAACAAGAAACAAAAACAACGGGNGCAGAGAGAGAGGAGAGAGGCAACGATGCGGAACAGTGCACACACCACAGGCACAGCAGCAGCAAGACTCCTTAACACTCTTCCACTCTCAGATATTCACAACGAGCCCCCAACACCCCCAAACCCAAACAACCAAGAGTTAAAACAGTTTCCACCTCTGGAAAGCACCCCACCACAAAGCCCAAGGGGCGTCAGTGCTCCATCCCGTCACTGCGATGGCGCAGCGGAGAGGCAACAAGAAACAAAAACAACGGGGGTGAATTCACCACACGAGCCGTCCCCGCTGCAGCGGAGACTTCTTCACAGGCTTCTCCTTAATCCTGCTGCGGGAGCAAATGCATGTCCCCTCCCCACAATCACGCATACTTGAGGACACGGAACATGCGGTGGTGCGGGGTCGTGCACTTACTGTGGAGCCGCACGCGTCCGCCAGCCCAATGGCGCCGCACTGCACACTCCGCCACAGCACCACTCCACCGCTGTGCTCCACAGAGCACCACAATAATAAACAAAGCAACGCTTAAGCAACGGGTGGCACACAACCCCGTAGAAAAAAGAAGCCGAGGCCCAAAACAAAGAGGGGGATGATGTACGCCCAACAACGGGCAGCCGCCACGCATTCCTNGCACACTCCGCCACAGCACCACTCCACCGCTGTGCTACACAGAGCACCGCAACAATAAACAAACAATGCTTAAGCAACGGGTGGCACACAACCCCGTAGAAAAAAGAAACCGAAGCCCAAAACAAAGAGGGGGATGATGTACGCCCAAGCACGGGCAGCCGCCACGCATTCCTCCCCAGAGCCCAATAGACACACACACACACACACACACACACACACACACACACACCCATACACACAGCCGCAGGAGCCCCAATCAGGCAAGCAATAAAAGAAAAAAAAAAGTTATTTTTTTGTTTATATGTTAAGTCCATGTCGGTGGAGGTATGCCGACACCTCCCAGAGCACAACAATTTAGACCGCAGTCACAACGACAAAAAACAGCAGCTCGATTCGCTTCGGTGGATCAATCATCCCTCTGGGTGCCCTCTTCCGGGGTCACAGGGGCTTTGGGGTACTTGACGACAACCGCTCTTCGCACTGGAGGCCCGTCGACCGCAACTGGTGTTTCTCCACCGCGCAACGGCATCGCGCTGTCGTCGCGAGGAGCAGTAGCCGGTCTGGGGGGCCTCAACACCCTCACTCTGCGCCGCAGTAGGGCACCGTCCGTCTCACTGGTGACTTCCTCAACAATGTGGATGCGAACATCTTCACCAGGAGCCACCGTCGGCCTGCGATTCCTGACGACAACTCTGCGCTTCGGGTCTCTGCTCCTCCCCGGCGGTGCGCCGCCGCCGCCGCCATAAGCGCGCAAACCAACGCTGTCGTCGGAGACCCTCGGAGCCGCTGGGTACCTGACAACAACGTTTCTTTGGCTCGTGGATGCAGCAAGCTCGGCATAGTCTCGTCGCGGCAAATCGTGAGCATCGCCGCCACTCAGAGAGCTTTCTGGTTGCTCAGCAGCAGTCACACACCCACACACGCAGCAGAGCGAGAGGGCAAGTATCAGAGGCACGACGCGCACGATCATCACCAACACGCACTGAGCTGATAAGGTCTGAATGCAGAAGAGGGTATAGAGCAGAAAACACACACGCACAGTGAGACAGTGACAGTAAGGAAGGACAATCCACCAGCGCACCGAAATACCACACAAAGCGTCCAACACGCACCACAGCGCACTAAGGATGATGCGAAAAACCATTTAAGTAAAAAAGAAGGATATTTAAGGGACGAAGCACACTCCCGTCAAAAGCAAAGCCCTGTTGTAAAAAAAAAAAGAAATGACACTCCCCTCATCGACACAGTGGAGCCCAATGAATAATGTCGAGAGTCTCATGGGACGGCCTTAGTCCCACAGCAGTAGCGAAGCAATGAAATGAAGTGATGTGTGGTCTTGTCATGCGGGATGGTGCCCTGTCGACTGTAGCCCCTTCGGTGGGATCGTCGTCTCGCTGACACAAACGACTCACAAAACCGAGCAGCCAATCAACGCCCCAATCACCAACAGCAGCGGCGGCGCACGCATCCACCCTGTTGTGCCGCTGCCGTCTGTGCTGCCACTCCCACCCATCACGGCACTCACAACACTGCTCGATGGAAGCAGAGGAGCATCATCCTTATCATTGACTGCAGAGGATTTCTCCCCAGTGTGTTCATTAGACGTTACGGCGATGTCAGCGGGCTCACTTGCAGGGAGCACAGTCGTTTGCTTCGCCGCCTGCAGACCGTCTGGCTCGTCTCGACGCCGTTCTGCCTCATGTCCTCCATTTGACGGCACAGGAACCTCAACGCTCTCTTCAGGCCCTTCATTCAATGCGTCCGTGGCAGCCTCCCCGTTGGCTTCTTGTTTATCCTGCAAGGGTGGTTGAGTGCTTCCCTGAATAGTCTGTGGCTTCACAAGTTTGGTGTTGGTTGGCTTCGAAGCTTCTTGGGCAACTCTTCGTGCGGCTTCTACAGCCTCCAAGGTTCGCTGAGCCGCTTTAACGGCTTCCTTCGCCTTCTCCAGTAGATCTATATCCTTTTTCTTCGCCACCTCTTGGGTTTTTTTCAGTGCATCGTCTGCGCTCCGTGCCGCATCTAGAGCAAACTGCTTTAATTTCTCCTCACTGGCATCTGTAGGCCATTCTTTCATGTCGTCGCTTATGATGTCCGCCAAGACGCCAGCGTGATCCCGTGCTTTCTCAGCTTGTGACACTCCTTTTTCTGTACTCTCCCAAGCCGCCAATAAGAGATCCACCGAAGAGCGGATATTATTCTTTACCGCCAACAATTCTGCCAATGTGGTGTCTGCGCATTGCGACACCGCCCGCATCTTCTCGGAGAGTGAAGCATCTGTAGGCAATATCTGTCCTTTGGCTTTCTCATTTGTCATATTCGCGCTCTGGCATGCTGCGATCGCCGCCTTCTCTGTCTGGTAGGAATTATCTGCCGCTCTAGGAAGCAAAGCATTTGCGTTCTTATATCTTTTTACCGCTTCCCCCGCCCTTTCATGAGCCAAGGTAGCATTGATTTTATCAACACCCGCTTCAACTGCGCTTTGAAGAGCATCAGCCGCCTCCTTTGCAGCCCTCAGAGCCTCCAGTGCCTTTATGACATACTCAGCACTTATATTTGCGTTCTCACCAATTAGCGTTGCTCCATTCATCGTATAACTTGCACCATCTTCAACTTGCTTCAGCTTCAGAAGAGCATCTTCCGCACCATTCGTACTGCTCTTCGTTGACGCATCAGCGGCTTGCACAATCCCGCACAGCAGCAGGAGGGCAACAGCGGACAGCACGTGACGCGCCGCCAGCATGAATACTGCAGTCAGAGTCGCCCCACGCAAAGGCCTACACAGGAAGGAGCAACAGAGGAGAGCCAAGCACACAATAGCCACCAATGAGAGACCAACAACAACACACCCCACACAACACCACAGTACTGGCACCAGAAGACGTCAAACACATGCGCAGTGCCACACCACGCAGCAAGCAAAAAGAAAACACTTAGGGGGCGGCGCACAGCCACGCACAAGGCAAGGCCCAGGCACAATGAGGAGACATTACTCCCCACCCACAACAGCATCGAGCACAGTGTGTGCCGTCGAAGGTTGGTGGAGCAACGGCCCTCCCCCACAGCAGTGCAGCACAAGATTAGAAAACAAAAACAGTCTTACAGCATGCCAATCGTGACTTTAGGGCGTAAAGCAATCACACGGATACAACCGCTCACTCTGCACACAGCACTCAGCACAGCAGCACACAGCCCAGCACACACAGCAGCAGCACAGCAGGCGCACGCACCCACTCACCGCCACCGCTGCCGTCCGACTTGCCTTTCTCCCCCGGCACAGTGCTCATACTCCTCGTCGAGTCAGGCACAGCGGTCGCATCCACACCGTCCGAAGAGTGCGCACTCTGTCTCCTTGCCTCCTCAGCACGTGCCGCAGCCGACGCCGCCTCCCTCACCGCATCCTGCGCTTTCTCCTGCGCGCTGTGGGCCGCCTCCGTCGCCGTGCTCATCGCCGCAACCGCCTGCACAGCCGCAGTCCGCGCCGCCTCAGCTCGCTCCACCGCATCGGCAGCCTCCTTCGCTTTGTTGTCAGCCTTCACCTCCGCCTCCGTGGCTTCCTTCTTCGCAGCCTCCGCCAGCTGCTTGGCCTCCTGCGCCGCCTTCTGTGCAGCTGCTGCTGAGGCCTTCGCGGTGCTCAGATTCGCAAGCGCGGCATGAGCGTCTCCCCACTTCGACGAGGCAAGCCTTACGGCATTGGCGGTTGTCTCCCACGCATTGTCTTCGTTCGCATCTTCGCGCCACCCCTTCAGCAACGCAACAGCAGAGGTCGACTTCTCACTATTCGCCTCCACCCACGCGTGCAGCGCTGCCTCCGCCACCTTCTCCGCTTCAGTCACGGTTGCCTCCGCCCCCTTTACGACCACACCGAGCTCGTCATACCTCTTCTGCGCATCCTCCGCGAGTTTCTTCTTCGCATCAGCGTCCATACGAGCGGCGTCGGCTTCGCGCTGCGTGCGCTGAGCCTCCTGCGACGTCGTGTTGACATCCGCGACTGCAAGCTTCACGTCAACCGTCACGTCATCAGCAAGCTTCACCGCAGCCGCAGCCGCAGCCAGTGCATCGGCCGCTTTCTTCTCAGCCTCCTCCGCCTGCGCCCTGAGGGTGGCCGGAGCCTCCACTAACGCCCCGTCTGGCGGCAGCGGCGCCGTCACTCTAATGCCCACAAGCACCGCATTGGCACGCTGCACGGTTAATGTGGCGAACCTCCGCGTCGCCCCGTGCGTTACTACGACACCACCAGTGGCAGCACCAGGCTGTTGAGACTGCAACGAACTGCGTGTGGCCGAAGCCTCCACCGCACCCGCACTGCCCTCAGCAGTAACACTACACGTCACGCACAAGGCCGCGCAGCACAGCCCAGCTGCCAACACCCACACAACGCGGCGCATCACCACTTCCTTCGCGATAGACACTCCCACATGCCCGCAGGGAGAAGGAAGAGACACACATCAGATGGCACACGCACACAGACAGCAACAGGAGAAAGCAATAGTCGAAGTCAACACACATCGTGGCACATCCCACAGTGAGTGCAGAAGTAAAATAAAAATGATTTCGTGGCATAGCCCAATGAGCCACGTGGAAGCAAAGCCCAAACAACCCAAAGGAAAGAAAAGATAAAAACGTGGCAGCCGAAGCGCCCATTTGCATAGATGGTTGTGTGTTATTTAACTCCTGCCTGATAGCGTCACTCCGTGCAGTCGGCGGGGTGTAGCGGGAGGCGGTGCGGCCCTCCACGACACGACACAGCGCACAGGAGGAGGAGCGGCAGCAGCAGCAATGGAAAGAAAAGAAAAGGGCTGCAGCAGCCAAGGGGGTTGGCCCGCAGGGGTGCACACACACACAGCGGGGAGAACAGCACCACACAGACCACCACCCAGCAGCAGCAGCAGCACACGCAAGAGAGACGAAGAGGGAGCAAATGATTCAGCGGGCGGTGCACGGCAATGTGCAATGCAACGCCCAAGCAAAGAGGGGGAGAGAAACAAAGCGCCTCCACCTGAAGTGCAGTGCATGGTGCGTGTCGCAGAGAATGGAGTTAATGGCGCACAGCCCGTAGAAGGGCAGCAAAGAAAGAGAGAAAACGAAAAAGAAGCATGCGGGTATTTATTTTCCAGAGCCGCATGCATTAAAGGGGAGTGGCCACCCCGTCCACGCACCGCTCAGCACACCGCCAGAGAGGCGAGTGCGCCCAGCAGGAGCAGGAGCAACGGCGCACGCACCCACGCAGGACTGCTGCTGGCGTCCATACCGCCAAGGATGTTCAGTTGATTGCTGAGATCCGCAGTGTTAGTAACATCCACAACAGTGCGTTTGGTCACGGGCATCGTTTGCGTCTCATCATTGCGATGCGCAGCAGAAGTTTCATCGCCTTGAGTTTCCGTCACTGCCGTCTGTGTAGTACTGCCACTTGTAATCTGTGGCGTTGCGGGTTGCTGAGGGCCATTACTGTTGGCGTCTGTTTCGCTGGATGGTGAGCCATTGGGACTGGCAGACTCCGCCACTTCGGACTGCTGTGAGGTTTCAGTGGTCGCAGGGGCGGAAAGTTTCTGCGTTGGAGTTGTTTTTTGGTTGTCGACGTCAGCGTGCTCCTGTGTAGCTCGTTGATGAGCCTCCGCACTCCCCTGACTAGGGGCTGCATCTGGTTCCTTTAGCTGCTTTGGAGAGGAAGATGATCGATCGGAACTGTTCCCTTCAGTTTTACTCCCTTCTGCTTTAGGGAGAGACACGTCAGTTTTAAGAAGCTTCTCTTGTGCCTCAGAGTCCGCTTTCTGCTCTGGGGTTTGAGTAATTGTAGTAGGAGTGACAGGAACAGCAGCAGCAGCAGGGGCAGGAGCAGAACGTGCCTGAGAATCAGTCGCCTGAAGCGTTTCTGCTTCGGACTGTGGCGACAGTTCTTCCTGAACCTGAGAGACAGCTGAAAAGTACCCTCTCCGGATTAGTTCGTTTCCGCTCCGCCAGCGCAGCTTCTTCCACAGCCTTGATGAACCCTTCCAGAGTCACAGTATGGTCCACCGCCCGTTTAGCGTGCCTTAATGACGTCTCGGCGTCATTCAATGCCTTCTGTGCCTGCTCCATGGCTTGATGAGCTTCTTTAGCGGCGGTCTGCACATGACCCAGTGCCTTTTCAATCTCAGTCGACGAAATAGTTGGTGTGATCTCTGTAGACACGGGGGTCTTCACAGCGGCCATCACTCTGTATGCGGCCTCCGCACTCTTCACTGCGGACTCAAGGTGACGCTTCGCTGCGTCTGTGTTGGTGCTTGTACTCATAGCGTACCCGTAAACATGCCGTGCGCTCGTAATGGCAGAATCAGCTTTGTCTTCGGCAGCCGAAGTGTTTTTGTAGGCCGCACCAAAACGTTCTTTTATCTCCTTAGCGTCATCCAAAGCAAACCCAAGAGAGTAAACCCCCGCGTTTGTATCCGTCGCCAAAGCTATCGTTTGATTTGCTGCTTCAACAAACTTCGTAATGGCCTGCTTGGACTTCTCCACCGTTTTATTGATGCTTGCAACGGCCTCTTCGAGTGAGCCCTTCAACGCGGAGTCTTCCTCCGACGCAATTGATATAGTTTGCTTCCCCTTCAATGCTTTCTTCAGTGCTTCAAACGCATTGAGTGATGCATTCGCTGTCGTGTTGGCAAGCGTTGAAGCTTTAAAGGCTTCTTTTGCTGCATTTTGAGTCGTCTCCGCCTTTTTCTGTGCTGCTTCAACTGCCCTCTTCCCATCCTCGGTCACTGACACGGCGTGGAGAGATTTTTCGTGCACATACTTCGCATCCTCAGCGTTAAGCTGTGTCGTATTGGGCCTCGGACGGCGGCCGTAATTTAGTGGCCTTATCGGGTCCCGAGCCCCATAGTCGCGTATCCACGGGCCATGGCCGTAGTACGAGATATGATGGTAATCCCCCCACGGCGTCCTCGGCACCCCCTCCGGCCTCTCCCGTCTCTTACTCACTTTATCCCGCCTCCTGTTCACGACAGGCAAGTCCTTCCAAGAAAGCGAATAACTGGACGCTTCGCACAAGGACGTGCAGCACAGCGCGAGTGCAAGCAGGGGCAGCAGGGGCAGCAGGTGCCGCACCATCGTCACCATCAATATAGAATGTGGTTCACAGGTCTGCACAGGAGGAAGAGAGACGCACAGAAGGATGCACAAGCACAGCAGATGGGAGCAGCAGCGCACCGCACAGCTCAGCAACCAGATAGAAGAGCGACACATTACTCAAACAAGGCATTAGTGGCATAGCCCAATGAACCACGTGGAAACAAAGCCCCAAAAACCCAAAGGAAAGAAAAGATGAAAACGAACCATTGCGGCAGCCGCAGCGCCCATTTGCATAGATGGTTGTGTGTTATTGAACTCCTGCCTGATAGCGTCCCTCTGTGCAGTCGGCGTGATGTAGCGGGAGGCGGTGCGGCCCGTCACGACACGACACAGCGCACAGGAGGAGGAGCGGCAGCAGCAAAGAAACGAAAACAAAAGGGCTGCAGCAGCCAAGGGGGTTGGCCCGCAGGGGTGCACACACACACACAGCGGGGAGAGCAGCACCACACAGACCACCACCCAGCAGCAGCAGCAGCACACGCAAGAGAGACGAAGAGGGAGCAAATGATTCAGCGGGCGGTGCACGGCAATGTGCAATGCAACGCCCAAGCAAAGAGGGGGAGAGAAACAAAGCGCCTCCACCTGAAGTGCAGTGCATGGTGCGTGTCGCAGAGAATGGTGTTAATGGCGCACAGCCCGTAGAAGGGCAGCAAAGAAAGAGAGAAAACGAAAAAGAAGCATGCGGGTATTTATTTTCCAGAGCCGCATGCATTAAAGGGGAGTGGCCACCCCGTCCACGCACCGCTCAGCACACCGCCAGAGAGGCGAGTGCGCCCAGCAGGAGCAGGAGCAACGGCGCACGCACCCACGCAGGACTGCTGCTGGCGTCCGCACCACCGACGGTGTTCAGTTGAGTGTGGGCAGTTCTGTTGCGCACTGTTTCGGTCTGCGGAGTGCCATCCCGACTCTCAGACTTTACCACTTCGGATATTTGGATGGCGACACCGGTATCAGTGGTGGAGACGGTGGGCTGGATGCTTGTGGCTTCCTTCTCGGCGTCAACCTGCTCCTTTGCAGGTACTGGTGGAGCCTCCACTGGAGCGGCAGATGGTGACACAGACGCCTCAGGTTGAGAAGTACCCACATGCCCCAGAGAGGATGATTCATGAGACGCGGCAGTGTTTTTGTTGCCCTTTGCAGGAGCAGCAGAGACCGGAGCAGGAGCGGAAGGAGTGTCAACAGCATGTCCAGAATCACCCCGAGAAACGTCTTCTTCAACAGTTGCTTTCTCTTGGGTGGGCAACGGTTTGGTTTTCTCGACCAGAAGCGCAGCTGGCACATCCTTTTCCAGACCGTTTGTCTTCACTTCTTTCACAGCAGCTTTCTGTACAGCCTGAGCGAACGCCTCCAGCCCCCCGGCAAACAGATCCGCTGCACCAGCCGCTATTAAGGATTCCACAGCATAATCATATGCCTTCTGTGCCCGTTCCATGGCTTTAAGAGCACCACCTTCAGCGTTCTGCATATAGCGCAGTGCCTTGCTCATCGCATTCACTGGAGCAGGTTTGGCAGGCAGTGTAGTCCCGGTCGGGTATGCCGCAGTCACATAGGCCTTTGCAAACGTCATATTCTTCACTGCCACCTCAAGGAAGCCCTTTGCTTCAACTGTGTTCCTTCTTGCTTGCACCGCAGGGCCAAGAACACTTTTTGCCCTCTGGATGGCGTGCTCCGCGTTGTCTTCTGCGGCCGTAGTGTTTTCGTAGGCCGCACCGAACCTCTTCTTTAACTCCTTGACGTCACCTAACGCCACTTTAAGCAGATCAATGCCAACCTTTGGGGCTTCCCCTGCTGTCGTCGTTTTGGTTTCTACCTCGGAACAATTCTCCATGGAGAGACGAAACAAGTTGGACGTCTCATCGATGCTTTTAAGAATCTGTGGGACTCTCTCCTTCGCGACCATCGCTTGGCCTCTCCCCTTCTTTGGATACATCAGCGCGATCAATTTATTTACCGAAGCAAACGCTGTTGTGTGGGCAAGTGTTGAAGCATTCAGGGC